TTGAATGGCCATATAATTTGACTGCCTATGATACTAGCAGAAAATTTTCATCTTTTGTCTTCTAAATTGTAAATCTCTTGTTGAGATATTCTTAAAATTCAATTTTTTTTGTTTTGTCTTATCTTGCTAGTGTTTTTAATTTCTCTTTTGATTGTTGTGTGGTTTCTGTTCAACTTCTTTGAAATTTCCAGTGTTGTGTTCTTGTCATTCGACTTTGTAATATCTTGTTTCTCTTTTGAGGTGATATTTTTCTTATGACCCATGACAATCTTTATATGTCTGAAAATAAATATGAATAAATATATTAACAATCTTTAATTAGTTGCATAATAAAATCTAAAATTTCCAAACAAGTAATTGTAAATATTTGTCATAAAACAGAGTTAAAATTTGCATGTTATATTTATCATAAACATATCCTGAAAATTTTACCAACATCAATCACAATTTTATTATGAAATCCTTGCCTTGTATGATCAAATCTAACAGTGTATGTTTACAGAGGACAATTATGGACCTTCTAACTACCTTATGAAAAAAATCAGCTGATTCTATGATGACATGTAATGACTCGATATATTGAGAGGACAATTTTGTTATAAATGATTAACATTAAAAACCTTTAAATTACAGGGTTCATATTGATAAATGAAATTCATGTAGAAATATAAAAATAAAAAAATTTAAAATTTGCATTTCATATTGATTGATTTTTAATGGAATTGGTATATGTAAGTGATTTAAATATTTTTCTTGTTTTTATCAATGACTATAAAGAGATCTTTCATTTAAGAGATTTGCAGTGAAATGATTTATAAAATTAACTTTACATATTTATCTTTATAATTTTCATTGTCAGTTCTGTTTACTTGATTTAAAGATTTTAGACTATACATTAATATAACATCATTATTGTTGTTATATGATGATTTAAAGTTAAACATTCATCTATCTTTAGTGTTTTTTCAATGTAATATTTGTAACCAACATTTGTTGTATTTTGTGTCCCCCCCCCACATATTTATATTCCATCACTAAAAATATTAGTCTGAAGAAAAATAGGCTTTTTTTACACTTTGTCATCAGTTACCTACTATGATAATGCTATGAGAAGAACTAAATGCAGATTAAATTATTATTGTTAGGACAGTTGTAGAGTGAAATGATGGCATTTACATTGATTCCTTTTTAGTGAATGAAAGGGATTAAAAGTGGTATTTTATATATTCACATTTTATTAAACTCAATCTGAAGAAATTCAACAAATTTGTCTGCATGATCTTTGTATTCACTCTCTTAACTTTGCCTTTGCACAACATAGCTCGCTACCAACCTCATATACTTAATAAAGATGAAATATATTTCTTTTAATGTAAGAATGATCAATTCTGCTCTATTTTTCACTTTCTTTTGGAAATAAATGGCAAACTTTGAAGCATTCAGCTAAGGAATGTTGAGGTTTTTATTTGAAAGTTTTCTTTTATTCAAAATACATTTAGAAATAAAATTAAAAAGAAAATAAATATATAAAATGGCTGTTTCATCCAGTATCTATACTGAAGTATCTTTGTATTTGGACATTACAACCAAACAGAAAGTTCCAGGGATTTTTTCCATCAATAGCAACAAGACTTCAAGTAATAAAATAGGCTATGTGAAATTGACCTTTTGAGGTCATCAAAGGGCACAATGTGCCATTTCTATCAAATGAAACACTTCCTTGCAAAATATTAAATTTTCTGTGAAGTATAAAAATGTTTTTTGATTTCACAAAAGATAGGATAGATGAGGTCAAAATTGGTAACCACCCTTATGTGTCACAAGAGTTCATTGGGGGATAGAATTATAAAAGGGTTGCTAAAAAGTTCTTGGTTCAACACTCCTCCTAAAATCTGACCAGTTATCAGAATTCTTTAGTGACTTTTAGGATCAGTATTACAGTCAAACAGTTACATTATTGGAGGTAAATTAGCATATGTGTGTAACATGGAACAAAAAGAAATGATGGAGGGAGAGCTCCAGGATCACTTTTATTTTTTTTTTATCAAAATAATTTTTTTTCATTAAATAGAAATATTAAGAGATAAAATATGATGATTTTTTTTGTTCTATTTGTAAAATGTTCTGCAATATGGAAAAATGTTTTCAAGCAAAAATTCTAAAATGTTCAGGATTAAAGCCTGATTTTTTTTTCAATTGCTTTACATGTAAAAAAAAAAAAAAATAATAATATCTCGGAAGTACAGAATCTACCAGTGACTCTGTGAGTAAAAGCCTTTTTGCTCCAAAGAATGATTCAAATGAAGAAATAAATTCAAAGCTGTTGTAAAAATTTTTAAAGAGGTTCAGCTGTACAAATCAAACGACATAGTTCCAGACACTTCCTGAACTTTCTTTAGCTGCCTGGTGTTCTTCCCCCACAGGCTTCAACTAAAAGCTAAAATGCCCATCAAGCTTTTCAGAATTGTGAATTGTGTCAAGGCAGTCCCTACTATATGTCTTAGAGGTAACTATCCTAACAGTGATGGTCAATAAAGATGTGTTCATTTACAGGATTTTTATACAGATTTTTTTTCTTTGAAATCAAGCATCTTCAATTCCCAAATAGGCTCAGCTTTGTCATGATAAGGTACAGGGACAATCTCGTAATACATGACCTCAACCTGACTTCTCCCTGGTTTTTCTATGACCAGCTCTATATTAGTTGTTCTTGTGTTGGATCTCTAAACAACAAATGGAAAAGGCATAAATGTTGAGTACTTTGTTGAACTAAAAAACTGCATCATTTGTTTTGTTTTATGTATAAGAATATTTTTCAGTAATACCAAATTTTTCTCCTCCTCCCCTCTCCAGTTGTCATTCTATATGAAGAAATATGTTAAAGAACATGTATTTTCCTGTGTTATATATTCCAGTTATTCTTTTCATGAGCAGTGCTGGGTATTCCTGCTAGTTTTATCATATTAAAGGTTTAAAAACACACACAAATACAGAGTTCTGATGTCTTGTCTTATAATATAAAATGGTACCAACAGGAAATTAGTTTCATTAACTTCTTTTAGCATCATTCTGTTATTCATTTTTTTAAAAACATTTTTATACCCTCCCTTTACTGAAATTTTAATTATATTCTGTTCATTGATTTATCTGCATAAATACATCATGTAAAAAGAAATATTTTGAATAAGTGATGATGCTTTCAAATTTTTTTAAAGAACTTAAGTCATCTTGTTTCATCTAATCAAATATTATGTTATCATTATTTCTTTTTCTAATATGTTCTCAAGTGTAACATGTACAGAAAAAATGAAAGCAACATTTACTATCAAAAGAATAAAGCAATACTTATATTTTCAATAACAGGTGTCATCAGGAGAATGTTAACTGAAAATAAATCCCAAGAAATTTTATTTATATTCAGACTAATGTCCTCAGGTTTGTTGTTATCAAAACATTCTGCATTCTTCAGGTGTTTGTTAATGTGGATAACATTCAGGGAATTTTAAACTGGACACTTTATTTAATGTACAGGTTTAGATTGTTCTTGTTCTGCTGTCCATGTCTAAGTTCAGGTTTGTCCTACAGAACAATAGCTTACTGGATTAAAACATTGGTTTATGGATTCTAACCATGGGCCAGGTAGTTTAGACTTAGACTCAGTGGAAACATGGTGAGCAATAACTGAGCAGTACTAAATTGCAACAATATGCAATATCCCTAGACATGGAGAGGAGAATGAAAATAGTGTATCCCCAACTCCCATAGATTAAAGGAGTTCAGTTTGAAATTCCCTGAAGGTCTAGAATGACATAAATAAATAACATAATACTTTTAAAAAGCTCACATAAACTACCATTATTACAACTTAACACAATAGATGTGTTATAATTTTAAAAACAAAGAGTTGATCTCCAAATGTAAATAGTAAAATCATTTGGGATATGTTATACTATTGCACTATGTTTGTATGTTGATAAGAATTAGTATCTGATGCAAAGATGCCAGATGTCAGAGAAATTTTAGTGCATCATTCTTGTCTATATAATATGATACAAAATACTTTTAGCACCTAAAAATTTCTATTAGGTATTTTTTTACTTAAATCTTCAGAAAAATCCTACTAGTCAATGACATTTTAATTTTAGAATATAGATATCGATGTGAAAGGGTGTTGAAAAATTCTTGCCCCAACCAATTTGATCAGATGTTATGAAGTGTGTTGAACAGGCATCCTTCCTTATACTTTTCTTCTTGGGTAAAATTTTAACTTATTGTATGAAATTTACAGAACTTTTTCATTCTGCTTTTGTTGTGTAATTTAAGTGATTATGCTAGAGTGAATAAGTTGAATGGTCTATTTTTACCTAAGTGTATCAAATTGCTCCAAACTTCACAGGATAAAAATGTATTCATGTAATTTGAGAGTTCATCTTTCCTCATCCACTTTGGCTACACAAAATGCTCTGATAAAAGTGAAGCACAAATCTCTCATCAAACCAACACTACTTTTATTCTCTATATGCTTTGTTTTACTATCTCATTATAGTGAATATTTAAAATTTAAATATTAACTATTATGAGGTAGTAAAACAGAGCATACAGAGAATGAAAGTAGTGTTGGTTTGATGAGAGATTTGTGCTTCACTTTTATCAGAGCATTTTGTGTAGCCAAAGTGCTTATGGAAAGATGGACTCTTAAAATGAGGCATTTTTACTATTATTGCATTAACTACAATGTTGCTGCAGTTTCTATTTAACATTTGAATGTGTCATTTTTAAATATTATGAAAACATATCCCTTTTCTGCTTAACAAAACACTGCAGAAATAGGAATTTTTCCTTTTTTTTCTATTTTAGTTTTCTTCTCATTTGTCATCTATGGTCAGTTTATAATATCTGCTTAATTATTAATTTATTTACTGTTGATTACTTACCTCATCTGAATGTGTTTTCTTTGACTTTTCTTAATAGGCATTGACCAGCATTTTCTTGTTTTGCAGGCCGAAATGAACTGATTGCACGTTATATCAAATTGCGAACTGGAAAAACGCGGACACGAAAACAGGTATCCAGTCACATACAGGTGCTTGCCAGACGAAAGGCAAAGGAAATACAGGCCCAGTTCAAAGTCCAAGTAGGTAAACTGTAGATTGCTCACCCAATTCCTATTTTATCATCTTGTCACATCAAAATAATTTCAATACTGAAATGGGAACAATATACTTTCTAAATTGTATACAGTGTCAAAAAATGTCCCTTTTGTACTGAAGATATTTCCAGGATTTTTAGTGATACTACACATGATGATAAATCTCTAGTTCTCAATTTCGCCATTACTGAATTTTGCTACGGTCAGATTATTTATCTCAAGCACCTATTTTAGTAAAACCTTATTTTATAGTTAGGATTCTCAGTTTTTTGAAGACTAAATAAGTAATGAAGCTATAAAACATTTGATGTTGAGTAAAATTATTTTAATAAGCATTGGTAATCAATAGATGTACGTTAGTGTTAGAAGAAAAGGTCTTTTCAATGATTTTCAGTTGTATTTTTCATCAGGCAAGTCTTGTTTAAAACACCAACAGTAGTCAGCCATTATTCACAAATGACATTAAAGCTTGCCATGCTTTTTTCTCAGTCTCACTCATATAACCTTTCAAAGAGGAAAGCATCCTTCACAGATTTGAGAGCTACTGAAAATTACCTGCATTTCATTCAGCATCATTGATGTGTGGAATTTTTTCATCAATCCAAGTTTGATATAAGGAAACAAAATTTGATGAGATTAGCTGCCACATTAGAAATATCAAGTAAAAATTCTATATTCTCCAAACACTCAGTTAATTGTACGGAATGTGCTAGAGGGACTCGTGCAACCCTATTTTTGCCATTGTTTAGACATACACCTTTTCAAGTTTCTATTTTCAATACTCTTCCTTGGTTTCTGTTATAAACCAGAAGCAATATTTTAATTAGTCCTTTAATGTTTGTGCAATATACCAATAAAATATTGTTTGTGTAGTGAGGGAAAAACTTGTGGTGATAGAAGTTTATAGTTTATGTAGCAAGTAAATTTCTTTTATGAAGACATGAACCAAGTTGCTTCACAGACTAACAGTAAAAAAAATATCTGATCAATGTCCCCAGATCAGATTAGTCAGTGGATCACAATTCTTTGGGCATTGTTATTAGATAATACTAAAAAAAAAAATGATCATGAAAAGATAAAAATATAATTTTTGTTTTTAAACGATATGTGAAAAACCTGACGTAAAAAAAATGATTGCAGTAAAAACGAGGTCAACCACTGAAAAATGAGTTCCACAAATTTCCCTTCAACTGTGTCAAAATATTAAAATATTAAAAATGATAAATTCAGGTTAGGTATTCACATTTTAACTATTTTTTCAAATTAATAATTTTTTTCTGCATCATATTCCTTAAGGATGTGAGCAATCATGTCTCTCCACAACTCCTAGTCTCTGTTTTGCCATCTATTTACATAAGCTCATTAGATAGATTACTTGATGTTTCTCTCTTGCCTTTAATACATGTTTGAAATTCTTAAAAAACATCCTAATTCGTAATATGTCCCAGAAATTACAACTGTCTCCTGATTCTAAGTATAAGTGTCCTTTTTGCTTACATTTTCCTTAAAACTTTCTCATTGCTCACATTCAATATTATTTTATGAAATCTACCCTTAATATATAACACCCACTCTTTTTTTAAGGTTTTAAACTTACAAATGAAATTGCACTATATGCTACAATATACAGTAAAATATATAATCTTGATGCACTGATAATATAGGCTGTTCCTTTATTGTGTTATCAATAGAGGAACTTTTAAAGAAACATTTATGAATTTCCGTTGTTATAACTTCAACTATCATAAGTATGACTTTCAACCATGTTGTAAGTCTGATTCCTTCAAAATAATTAAAAGTACAATTAAAAAAGAAAAATACCAGTTTGTTTCCTAACCTCTCTTAGAGGAAAGAATTATTATCATTTGTTTTAACATGCATTAACTTTCAAACTAGATAAACAGATTTTTGATAAATAATATCCATTGTAATTGTAGAGAAAATATCTTTTGTTGAAAACAGTAAAATCTTAGTTAATATCCTCAAGGACACATGGCACGGTGGATAAAGGCGTTGGTTAGATCCAGTGATCCAAAGAGTGTGAGTTCAATACCCGGTTAAGGCAATGGAGAACTTTCAGAGGGAAATTAACAGGAGATAACTGATAACTGACATCCATTAAACATGGCACATTGAGTGAAATAAAGGGTTCAGTTAGACTTTCCAACCACCTGAAGAAGGCTGGAGCATACACTGGCCAAAACGTTGTAATAAATAGTCCGAATAATGTACATAATACCTCATCTCAGAAATATATACAGATTTTCATTGATATTAATAGGAAAAATGATGACATTATGTTTTATTTAATGACTGATGTTTTAAGTTGTTGGTATTTGTTTCTAAATTGTCTGAAGATCAGTTTTTATTAAAGACTGATTTTGAAATTCTTTGCAAGACAAATTGATAGCAAAAGATATACGTACGTTAAATTCTCAATTTAAATGCATTATTGTGATATTTTAATCATATCTCTTAATGTTGATGATCCAGCATTCTATTTTATAGCCTAAAATATTCATTATTGATAATCTTAATCTTTTCATACTCACTTTGCCACATATATTCCTTACCTCTCATATATACATGGATAAAATTTGCATTGTAAAGAATGTACAAATATTATTTGTTGTCTATTAACAATTTGCAATAACACTTACCTAAAAATAGTTTTGCATCACTTAAAATTAGATTTATTTAAAATTGCATAATTTGAAAAACAAAATCCATTGAAATGAGAGCAGTAATAATAATGATAAATTTTGGGTGAACTTGAAATAAATATTTTTTTGTGTGTTCTTTTAAAAAAATGTTTTTATTCCCCACTCACTTTAATTTTGCATGGCTATTCTTTTATCAGTCATAGTTAGTTTTAAATTATCTTTGAATGACTGGGATGGGTGTGCAGGAGGTGTAATGGATAGTGGCATAGAAAGAGAAATCGGAGAGCTGAGTTTGAATTAGTCAGATTTGTTACATTCACTTATGTGCAAATATCCTTGGGGAAGGTATGAATCAATCCCCCCCAGCTGTGGGTTAAATAGTAGGACATTTTTTTTAAATCATGGATATTCTCAAAAAATTGTTAATAATAATTTAAGAAGTGTTAATAAATAATAAATTGTTGAGAATTATTCTTACAATCAAAATATATCAGCTATAAATAACCCACAAAATGTTGACAATCTGTAAAAAACCAATCAGTCAATCAGTTGCATTTCTTTTGCTCAGTAATGTAGGGTAAAATAAATATTTGATCACTCTGATAAAAGATCAAGAGAATAGGAAGAACAGAATTTTTGAAAGGCAAAATGTTAATCATGCTTATAAAAAAAAGCTGTAATAATATATTTCTGATAACACTGAGTCTTTTGACATTTTAAGTAAAATTGCTTGTGAAACTTGGTAAATATCATAAGTTCTTTTCTCATACTTCTTGCCTGTGAAACTCTTTCAACTTCTTGCTTCCCAGCTTACTTTGACCTTCAAAAATTTAAATGCAATGTCAATCGTTATCTACCGTCTTCTTGATTCCTCTTTTTTTATTGTTCTAGCTCCTTAATAATGTAATTCTTTTTTCTTATTCTTTCACACTCAGTCACCCCCTCATGTCTTAGTGGCTTTATTGCTTTACTTGGGGTAAAATGATTGTATACATTGTTGCATTTGGCTAAAGCAGATGTCAGATTTGATGTAAAATGAAATAAATTCTTTAATTTAGAATTTCAGCAGGAAAAATATTGACATAGTTCACTATAAGAGACATTGATTCAAAATCTTTGAATACTATAAAACTATATAGATATTAAAAGGAATAGTTATTTCAGCAAATTTATTTGAAAAAAAAACACATTGCATGATGTGCATAAAAGTCGTATGGATTGTAATATTCTGTTAATATTTGCATTTCTTTTCATATAGTTGTGCATATGAAAATAATGTTTTTATATTGGGGAAACAGTTCTAGTTAAAAGGCTTATTCCTTTAAGCAAACCAAAACATGGGTGTGAATATATTTACACATACAATTCTTATATATAGTTTTTTTTTTATTTAAACAGTGATGCTATAAAGAAATTGTTGGGACAAAGTCTTTTAGCAGTTAAAAAAAAACTTTAAAAGTGTTCTAAATTTAAAATGCTAAATGCATTCTTATTGACACTTGAAATAAAGACTTTTTAATGGGATATACACTTTTGTATAAAAGTAAAGGGGAAAGAAATTTTTCCAAAATTAACCAAATTCAAATTTCAAATATTTTTTTTTATTTATCATTTAAAACCTTACTAGTATACATATATACTGTAGATATACTGTATTTTCAAGAATATATTTTATTATTTTTACAACAGCATGTAAAAGATTTAACCCATATCCTCCTGACATCAATTTAAGCTGACGTCTTTTTTTCACATATCTAAACTATAATTGCAAACTAACATTTTGTAAAGGGAAAATTTCACTGAAATATGTTAGAAATTTTCCAAGTTTTCATTCGTAATCAAGAAAATGAAAACTTTAAGCAAAATGGTCAGAATATATGGGAAAAAAGGAGGCATCAATTTAAGCTGATACCAGGAGATGGGTTCAAGAAAAAAATTTTTTTTTTAATGAAAGGTACTCAGTGTAATGAACTTTGTTTAAGTTAAAGTAAAAACTTTTATGAGATGTTTCAATTTTAGGTATTTCTATATTTATTGTGAAAGCTTCATTTCTTTTGTACACTCATTCAGCATTTTTGTCTTGTTGGTTTGAAAGAGTTGATTGTATAGAGTTGAAAATATTCAGATCTCACCTGATAATTTTACTATTTACAAAACACTTATCGCATATATGAACTTGATAACAATTTGTCAGTGTACATACGATATTGTTAAAGTATTTGTTAGATAAATATATAGTTGCTTACCCACCCACCCTCCTCAATCCCACATATTCTTGCATATAACTTGTTGGTCTTCACTGAATATCTCCAGCACCTTTAGTAAATAAAGCATCAAAAACTCTCATGGAACAAACGTCAATCTGACTGCTTTCTTTCCCTCAGGACCAAGCTGCCAAAGATAAAGCCCTCCAAAGCATGGCCTCTATGTCGTCTGCTCAGATTGTATCCGCCAGTGCCATCCACAGTAAAGCTGTAACCTCTGGACTTAACCCTCTGTCCTCAGGGATGTCTCCAGTCAGACCCCAATATCCAGCAGGACCACCTGTAAGTGTTGTTCCCTAAATCCTTTCCTTTTTCTGCTTTTCTACTTCTCCAATTTTTCCAAACTGTCTAGAAGGTGGGGTGGGGGGTGCTGGCAATCAGAATAGCAGTTGACTTGTTTGGGCTTTATCTTATTCTTTTTTTAAAAACAAAACAAAGAACAATCTGTTGGTCCCTGTAAATATATATATTATTGAAATCCCAATTGTTAATCTTCATTAACAACACTAATTGACCCTCTTACATAATTTACTGCAACTCGTATTACAAAACAGATTTAAAAATCCACAGATAAATAGTTACAAAAAGTGACTATTTTTTCGTATAGTCATCCATACTAACTGTATCACTTAACATCCCCACTAGAAAAATTAATATGAAGCAAGAAATAATAGTCTACCAATTTCTTACATGAAACATTGTTATAATTTATTTTTTAACTTAACTTTTTTTGTTGCTTTTTCTTTTAACTCTTAGATTTTCGTTCTGCAACTGTTAAATAAACCACCCTAACCTCAGTGATTATGATGATGATTATGATGATGCACTTTTCTTTCTTTCTTCTTTTTTTTTTGAATGCTTGTGACAAGCTAAGACTTAAAAAAAGATGAAGGAAAAATGAATCAAGAATTAAGAACAATGAAGCAAGGATATTTTTTTCTAATGGAACATCTTTTTTTCCAAACAGTTTTGGGGGAAAATAGATTTATATATATAGGTTTTTTACATGACTTTAAAATAGAAGGTTAGTGTTGTTTCAACATTTAATTAGGTGTTTATACAACATTAAAACAACATGAAAATACTCTTACAATTGGAATAATTTAATAAATTACTAAACTAGAGATCATCCTGGTACCAAAGATTTGTTAAGAAAATCATAATTCTGCCTCCTATTTCTTATGAACAATTTACATTCATTCATATGATGGTAATAATAATAAATTATTTTACAATGGAAAAATCTTCCATCATTGAATAATTGTTACTTTAAAAAAATGTAAAAGGTAAAATTGGCATGTAACATTGAGGTTTTGTTTAACTACATAATACTGATAAAGTATCATGTAGTTTAGGAAAACCTCAAATTTTATACAATTATTCCTTTCATAATATAAAATCTTAATTTTTACACAAATTTAGATGGGCCACTGAAAGGATAAAATTCTATTGCATTTATACATGGTGCTAACAAAATGTTAGTTGAATTTGAACACTTTACATGTAACTATTTTATGTGAACTATGATCTGGTTTGATCAACTTTTTTCAAAAAGATATTTTAAGAACCCCAATCATTAAAGTTATTGTCATCCATTTTTGTAAATGAAAATTTAGATTATTTTTTTCTGCACATCAACATTAAATGTCATTTGAACATTATGAATTACTTATTATAAAGTATCAGCGTTCTTATATGAATATTAGATAAATCAACTCAGAAGTGTACAGGGTCATAGACTAGAGATGGGGATTCTATCAAATGTCAAATAAAGTAATTACATCAGCAATAAAATGCCTATTCTATTGATGTGTAAAAGGAGAAATCTCATGAAACTGGCTATATAATTAGGATACTTAATTAGACATTAATTCATGAAATACATTGATTGCATTTCTTATGGGCAAAATAAATTGTTCACTAGGGATTTTTTGAAAATAAGAAACTAATTTATATATTTTTATGAACTTGCATTGATAAATTGATGGAAACAGCATCAAGACAATTTGTTTTGAAACCGAGCTGAAATATGTACAAAACCAATCCAGCTCTGAACAAATGACTTAGACAAACATCAGATTTCAGCCCCACATTTGATAGTCTGTGAGCTCAAATGGTCTCTATTTTATTTATGTGTGTGTTTGTGTGTGAGTGAGTGCGTATGCGTGCAGAGCTTGCTTTAAAAATAAAAATTAATGAATTTTATTTTATTACGTTGGTCGACAACATCGATGGTAGATATTGATAATATAGCAGTAGAGGTTGAATCTTCCCACTAATAACCTACAGTCTGGTAAAATGTTATCTGACATGAAAGTACATATGAAGTAAAAGTGTCATTGATTTCCTCTATGCAAAAAAAAAAAAACCATCAATGCTTGAATGTGTGCCTAGATAGGCAGTGAGCAATGTGTGCAACAGTGATATATGTGGTTACATCAGCTGGTACAGGATTTCTCATGGACATGGCATTGCTGGCAAAAATGGGGTTGACTTTGTGGAAGAAATGTTTTGTAGCTGAAAACTTGCTCTGTCAATCAATGTTATTGAGCTCACTATATCTGTTGCAGTTTCCATGGAAATAAGAGGCATTGCTTTTGAAGTGTGTGTGTGTGTGTATGTAAGAAAGAGAGACAAAGAGATTGGTTGTATTTCATTTAATAGTTGTCTTTGAAGCTAGTTTTTTTTTTCATCATCCTCTTTGTCCATCTGTGCTGATTTTGATAATTTTTCATTTTCTAAATGAGAGATTATAATAAAAACCCAAGAATTAAAAGGAAAAAGAAATCACATATACAGAATAGCCACATTTGGTAACATATAATAGAAAATGAAATGTTTTTATTAATTTCAAATAATTATGACTAAACATAGTAATAACATCTATTGAATATATAAAAGTAAACCAAATATTTGTGTTTAATATATTTTCGATTTCATTTATTTTTCTCTTCGATTCATTCTTGGTCACTTTTAAACCATTGTTCTTCACAAAAGAAGAACTGTCATTCTACTTGCAAAAAAAGTTTACCTTTTTCTTTCTGAATTGTATTTTTAATGAAGTGTAATATTTTCATAATTCTTTCAAATACTTTTCCTTGTAAATTTAGTTTCTTCAAACAAAGATCTTTGAAAAAAATCATTGTCTCTAAATTGAGAAATAAAATTACTTTTCTTTTGATTTTGTTTTATTAAATTCTCACTTATAAGCTGATCAAGTTGAAAAATAGTTCTCAAATTTCCAATAAAGAAATTTTTTTTTTTTTTCTCAGGTCAAATGTTTGTTTGTTATCTATGTAATTATTCCTGTATGTTGTCATTTCCTGTAATATGGAACTTCTTGTTGGTGTTAAATATGCAAATACATACTTAGATTCTATACCTAGTGATAAAAAAAAATGATTTATCTATAAGATTGTAATCTCTACCATTTTTCTTTTATTAGTTTTGGGCTCCTGGAATGGCACCACAGACACAAGAGTAAGTATGATTTCTTTTCAGTGCTTTCTTTCTGCCACTAATAACAGCATATATTATCCCCTTGATATCACTAATATTTGTCCAAGGTCAGAATATGGCAATTCAAAATTTGATAAAAAATTTATCATTCAAGTACGACTCCCAGACTTGGCCATGCCAAAAACAAAGCTGTTGTGAGACTGAAGATCACTGACAATCCCTTTATATAAAATAACTGTTGCAATGTTTGATGCCACAAATCTAAATATCTGGTAATAGAATTTGAAATGAGATATATCACAATTTGAAGAGAGAATAAATCATTTCTCATACAAGTTACAAATATGTTAGTTTACTTTGAATATACAGAAAACATTGAATGTTGCTTGATTGCCAAAGTTATGTGGTTCTGTGTATCCATTTTGGAATACCGAACACTGATGTTTTCTTTAAGTATAACTCAGACTTTAAGCATAAATTGTAGCAGCTAATATGTTAAATTTTGAATTTAATCAGGATGATCATAATTTATTGTGAAATAACTATAGTCACGTGTTTTAAGTATGAGGGGATGTAGTTGGACCAATACCTTTTCAACACACCCTTGTATAATACACAAGATCTATTATAATTCTTTGCTTATGCTAATTTTAATGTAATGAATAACTTGCTTGATCATATTGCACCGTTGTTGTTTTCACTCCAGAAATAAAGCGATTATTGTTATTCTATGATAATGGTAGTTAAATATTCCTTATTATTTTGTTGGCGTAACTTAAAAATAAGTTTCTCTTTACCTGATACTTCAAATTAGTGATACAATTTCACTTGACCATGAGGCAAAACTTTTTATTCTTTTCTATTTCTTACTGCATGTGGTTTTTTTTTTTTAAGATAATCCAGCAGTACATTTTGACCACATTTTTTTTCATTGAATACACTTTCAGCATGTTTCTCATGCATTTTATGCATGGATTAGCCTAAGGCAAAACTTGTTTTTTTTACAATGAGTTATCAAGTTAATGTTTTTGCATGAAATAATCGTACTCAATAGAATATAAATTTGTCAGTTTCCATAACTATCAAGATATACATAATATAATATCTCGTAGATATCTGTGAGCATGAAACCTATTCACTTCTTTCTCTTTTTTTCTCACTGGCATAGATAGACCAAACGAATGGAGATTCTATATTGGGTTGAAACAAAAGTTTGTAGTATTTTTTAAATTAATTTCAAAGACAATATTTAGATATTCTTATATAGATTTATTCAACTATATATGTGCCATTTTGTTCCACTACCTTTTGCCTTATTTGAAGCAGATTTATGATTCCATCCTCCTAGAACTTTGCATCTTTTTCCATGACAAACTGATCTAAGTGGTTTTTACAGGATTTCCCAGAGAATTGAATTTCATATCATTAAGAGAATTTTGTAAGGATTAAAGTAAGTGGTAATCTGAAAGTCCAAAGTCAGGTGAGTCATGATGGATGTAGTACATCCCAACCAAGCTGTACCAATTTCTGCTAGGACTGCAAGGGATGTGCAGTATGGCATTCTCCTGAGGGAAGACAACATGCTTCCAATTTGGCAATTTCAAACACTTTCAGTAATTGCTGCTTTCTTATCAGACTGATTGGGAATATTACTTATCTGAATCACTATCTGATTTTGCAGAAGGAGCTCGTGAGATGTAATGCCCTTTCATACCTACCAGATTCACAGTGTCACCCTCTTCAATTGTAGAATGATTTTGAAGTGGTTAACAGTGGCTGACTTCATTTTCCCCAGGATGATTTTTGCTCCACATTGTTGTAAACAATCCATTTTTTCATTGCCTGTGATCATTCTTTTGAAAAAAATGGGTCATTTTCATATTGTTTGAATAGAAAGCCACAAATTGAAATGTGTATAAAATTTTTTCAGTTGAATTATGAAGCATCCAAGCAGTGTCCTGATTCACATATGCTTTTACATATGCCTCATATGAGATATGTGAAGTGTTTCTGCAATGACAGGGATTATTTCTAATCAGCATTTTGATTTGGTTATCATCAACAACTGCAGGCCTGCCAGAATGTTCTAGATCTTCCAGATCAAATTTTCCATTTCTGAACGTAGAAGACCACATTACAAACAGTCCTCTCAACTATGGCACCATCTCCATAAATGGCACAGATCTCTTTTGCTGTTCCTAAAGTGTTTTCTCTATTTTGGAAATAAAAGAGCATCAAATGACGAAAATGCATCTAATTTTCTTCCATTTTCACTTTTGACATAAAACATTTAAAATTCACAATCCATACATGAATCATACAAAATGATGTGTTGAGATATCACCTTTCAGAATATGTACATATGTCAAATTTCAGTCACATGAAATGAAATCACATGTTCAAATGACATGTACTGAAAATCTCTACAAACTTTTGTTCCAATCCAATAGTATGACTAGAATACAGTTAAGGCTTCATATATTTGTTTAGTTCATTCAAAAACACACCAATGGCTGAGCTGATGTGTTGTGAAAATTCTAAAATTTAGTTATATTTTTTAAGAAATATATACATTATCAAATATGGAGATTGATGTATGAAAATCAAGTTTTATCTCAAATTTCCTTGGTAATTGGTTGTGTGGGTTTAAAAAGGTTAACATTTTATGGTTATTTTTAATTGTTTTCATATAACATGGCCATTTTTCAGCTTTTATTTGTTGTTCATTTATTCTCTTGCTGTTTCAAATATTTTGTGGCATCAGAATACACTTTATTTCTCTTAAACTGACATCTTTTCAAAATGCACATTAAAGTATTCTATGGTGAAAATACATTATAAATGTGTGTAACAAAGACTTTAAAAAAAGATGAAATTCATTTTATTTGTAATATTAAAAAGATTTTGTAACTGCTGATCACATTTAATGTAAACTTATTGAGACCATTTGTAAAGAATCATGTCGTCAGAATTAAAATTGAAGGTTGCCTGAAAGTTATTTTATTAAACAAGTGCAAGTACAATTATTTAATGTTGGCTTGGTGGCTGAATAAAAGGATTTTGTGTTGCATTATCAAATACTAACATTTTCACTATTATTTTGTTATTGATTTTTTTCACCGTATCTTAAAGTGATCTAATACAATTTTAAATAGTAGCAAGGAGAGAAAAATCAACTTAGTTTAGTATATAGATAAGCTAAAATATGTACTATACTTTTCAGTTTTCTGGTTTATTTGTATATATACATTTAAAAATTCTTATACTTGCTTCATCACAGTCTATACTTTATAGTTACGTTTAGTTTACTTCATTAAATAATGTACAATTTTCACAAATCTATCCCTCCAGACCCCAATTTTCACATGTATCATTTTTTTCCACTAATATTGAATATTACAGTATTTTTTTTATATACATATCTTCGTTTTCGTAAACTGTATTCAGGGTAGATAACTACTTCTCAGAAATAAAAAGTAGTTTCCCTTTAATTTCGGTCTTTTGATGAGTTAATGTTCTGCTTGTGATTTTAATTCTTAAGGAACTATTTGCTTATAAATTTAATATAATTAAAAAAATTAAGAACTATATTCTTGTCTGTAAAAACATTCACTTTACCAAATTTCAACTACATGCAGAACATTTTCTGTATTTTATTTCATTGTTTTTCTTTTAATAAACAAAATTTTGGATGTCAATTAGAAAATATTAAAAAATGTAAATGACCTCCTAAAACACTATAGTTTAAAAAAATTATGGAGATTATAATTTGACAGAAACATTATTTATGCCAATGATTTGGTACACTCTTATTTTGGCTGATTATGCTAGAAATAATACTATTTCATTTTAATTGTTTTAAAAAATGTAAATAGTAGTTCTTAAATAGAAATTGTTTAGGTCTCCCCTTCTTTGCTAAAAAAAAGAAAGTATTAATATTATAAAAAATTAAGGTGATAGAGAGGACATTTTATAACATTTTGTATGTTTATTTGCCCTTAAAACAATGCTATTTCTATTTTTCCTATGATTTATACTTTCCATCAACAAAATTTTCCTCTGAAAATGTTGGTTTATAATATATTATACAACCTTTGTCCTAATAATAATTGTGACAGAGTATTTGAAATATGTATGGGACTATAACTATTATGGGATAGTGGAGTATTATACAAAGATATACTCTTTTGGGCTGATAACATAAATCATGGATATAAGAAATTGCAACAATTTTCATTCATTTTTATTAAATTCAGTGTTATAAAAGAACATTATAGACACCCTCCCCCCAAACTGAGTATATTGCGTGTATAAATTTTAATTCCTTTTAAATGAATTGTTTTTGATTGATTTTGATAAGAATGAATAATTGCTAATATTATCGTCCTTTATATAAGTAACACGATAAAAGCTATAATATATAAGTAACAAGATAAGTCATCACAACTCCTTCATAAATGTAGGAACATAAATCCACTGATAAAAATAAAATTGCAATACTCTGAATATTTTTCAATTTAGTCCAGAATAAATGAATGGATAATAGGCTTGTTTACACTAAATTATCATAGATAAAGCTCTGTATATGCACAGGTTCCAGAATAAGAGACATATCAACAGTATTCTAACCCTATATAAATGCATGGTATATCTTTCTGGGGTCATTAACATATTCCTGGACTCTTATATTCATGATATTGTACAGATGTTGAATACCATCTTCTTGTAATTCCATATCTCTTGTATCTGTTGATGTAGTGGGACAGGTTTGGCAATCATCATGTTAAGAGAATTTGTCACACATCTTGAAGAATGTGTTGAGCATCATGTGAGCAGAAATTATCCTGCTGAAACAGTAGCATTACCTTCCTGTTGCTGGAATGGCAGAAGAAGAGGCTGAATAATGTTCTGGATGTACATGGCACTGTCCAACATTTTCTTAAGTCAACATTGTACATTCAAATGACTGTTACTTGCCTGACAGTAGACCACTGCCAGGAGAAGTGTACGACAATGTTGTGGTGAAAGAGTATAGGAGTGTTCGGTTGACCAATATTGAAGCACGACTGGCACATTGTATCCACCATTCACAACAATTCTCTAAAATGACCCTCCAACCTGTCTGAGGTTGTCTACATTCCAACATTTCTCAAGCATCTCTTATTGAAGAAAGGAAACGAGTACATCTCTGCAGTATCACATCTACTTGCACTGTAGTCTTTCATCACACTAATTGCCATATATAAACGTCATCCACAGACAGACTGTTTCGCTGTTTCACAGCTCATCAGTGAGGCTAAACATCCGGTTGCCTCTAGCTAGGATCGAAACCTGACTGAATTGGTATATATATATATATATATATATATATATAATTGTCTAAAGCTCAGACACAAACAGTGCACCAGTATGAGGTAGTATGTCTCAAGATATCATAAGAATTTTAAAATTTAACAGACACTACCCACTACAATGTACATATTTTACCCAGTCAAAATTAGCCATGTTTGTCAGGGTGTTGTAATTTTATTTTCCATCAGTGTCTATTGTAAGAAAGGGTCATCAAGTTTATTCTCATTAAGGAAATTCAATTTTAGTACTAACTGAAAACAATAGATATTACTAAAGGCAACACTTACTGAAATCTGAACTGCTTTATCAGCATTTCTAAGTTTAAAATATTCATAAAAATATAAATATTTTGGAATATAACAATGGTTTAAATAAAAGAAATTTGTTCAATGAGTTTTTAAAGATAGTTTCTTTTGTCTAGCAAATTAATGATTTGAGTTTATTATTTGAAAGATTAGCGTCTGTCTCAAAATTCTAAAAATAAATCTTGTAAAGTGTGTGTGTGTGTGTGTGTGTGTGTGTGTGTGTGTGTGTGTGTGTGTGTGTGTGTGTGTGTTACTACTTAAAATTTTGATCCACCCTTTAAAACATCTTGATTGTATTAATTTATAAAATTATTTGATTTTTTTCAGAATAACTTTTTAAAAAATATTTTTTTCTTAAACTTATAGAGAGAAAAACATTTTAAATGATAAAATAAATTGGTAAATCAAAAATCCCATAAAATCCCTCTAATCTTTCTAGACAGTGTTTATCAAAGCTGTTAAGTAGAAATAAGATTTTTAATGGTAAGGGGAAGGTTGTACTGATCATGTGACTATTGTATCATGAGTCATTTTGTTTAGAAGTTGACCTTTCACTTCCTACCAGGTAACTTTTGTAAATGATTAAATAAACAATAAAATAAATGCTGTTACCATGAAAACTTTTTATGTATTTCAAAAGAAAATTAATACTATAAAGTTTTAATTCTTTTTACAAATGTGAGTATTTTTATCAGCTAATTTTAATGCTTTTTTAATTACTGAGCCTTGCCATTTAGAATTTACAAAGTTGTTAAAATCTGTTTTTGTTGTTTATTTAACTGAGTAACTGCAGATGTGAAAATTTTGCCAATTAGTTGTATGCCTTTATTAACTTTTGTGCCACTGCCTCTTAGTTTTATGCAAATAAACATGTGAAGAAAAAAATAACAGCCAATGTATGAGCACTGTTGTTTGACCTCTTAGGTGTCCACCCTGCTGACCTGCATAAGAAAAGACTGCTTCTGACAGTCACTGCTATTGCTACTACTACTACTACTACTACTACTACTACTGCTGCTGCTTGCCTGCTGAAAGATATTTGAGAATAATAAGTTTGAGTCACTTGCCAGTCATTTATGAAAAAAGATATTTAGATAAGTAGAGCTAAGATAACTGTGTATGGCATGTCCATGTCTGAGAATTAGTGCAAGCAATATTAGTACTGCACCCATCTGCTTCCTCATCCTCTACACACCTGTATTTCTTCTCATCAGAAAGATTTCCCACCTACCAATGTCAGAGGATGTAAACAGGAAATATTTTAAGAATGTCCATAGGTAAGTGGGAAAAATGTTCTTCATTTTAATATTAATAATTGTTATACACACACACACACACACACACACACGTGCGTACAGACCCACACATATGTCTAATAGTGTGTTTTCTTCTTGGAATATCTTGGATATTAAGGATCATCAAAAACTATTTTGACCGTTTCATATTCTGGTGTGTAAGGATTTTCTTTCTTTCTTTTTTTTAACTTTGTGAAAGGCTGCATAACAGGATTTATATGGCAGGCTCTTGGACAAAGTTTATGTTGTGTTGGGGTGCATTTTCTTTTTTTAACTAGTCATTGATTAAAATAAAATTATAATGATAATAAGCCATATATTTATGTGTACTTAGTTTTTACATATAATGTAGTGCTGAAAGTTTTTTTGAAGAACATCTTAGTTGGGCTGAGAATTTTTCAGTGTCCCCTCATATGCTAACAAAAATATTAACTTACATATTCTATTTTTAAAATGAATTTGTCTTTAATAGTTAATGTTTTAAGTATTTTCTAATGTGACTACATATACACATTTGACTGGTATCGATTAGAAATATATAAAAGCTGCCATTTTGAAGAACCAGACTATTCCATTCATTACATTTTTTTTTACACACACACACCACATGGTGTATTGCATACACAAATATTTGTTTATATATTTATACACACACACACACACACGAGTCATAAATTTTTCAAACATTTAATTAATTATGTGCACATACATACACACAGAGTGCATTTGATTTTGTTAACTGTTAATTTATCTAATAAAATATCTATCTTACATCTCCCCTCCCCCTCCTTTCATGCCATCATTATTATTCTAGTTTAAGGTGTTATTAACTACTGTACCGTTTCCATATTTAGTGGATACCAATGATGTCTTTCTGTTAGTCACTTTTAACAGAAGCCCTGAACAGTAACTGTCGTTTTAGCCCCCCGCTTAATTATCTTTATTAGAGATATCAGTATTATTGGCTCATTATCTCTCACATTTTTCTCATAGTTTTAATTTTTTTTTTTTTTTTTTTTTTTTAAGCAAAGGTATGTATCATTTTTATTGTAGACATTGCTAGTGTGTGCAAGTAATCATTTTAAAAAAAGGAAGCAGATGGACCGTTTTCAGAATCAGAAATATCCTCTTGAGCCTCATCAGATTTTTAAGTTCATTTGACATTAATAGTGATTTAGGCATGGAAGACTTTGCAAGGCCAGCTTGGATTCACTTGTTTGATATCAAATCTCTGCATCTACCAACTTGTGATACTTTATATTAATATTTTAGCTTTATATAATCATCAGGAATACATTGTCTAATCTGATTGCTATCTCATCATACACAAAAGTATTCAGCATCTTTCAGAAACTCTTAAATAGATACATGGCTCTCTAAGTAGATTCTCACCACCTTACTAGCATTCTGACTGCTCTTTATTAAGATCAAATAAATGATAAAAAAGCACATGTAATAATTATAGATTTACAGTTTTCTACAAATTTCAAATTACAAGAAATAACATTTGATAAATTCTTGAAAAAAACATTACGTTTTGTCTATAAGTTTTTTCTTTTTCATTCTTTTTTTCTCTCTCTCTCTCTCTCAAATGATGAGTAGTTAGGCCTGTAAAAGATTTCTGAAACATTTTGATAAATTTGTAATATTGATATTGATATTTATTAAGAAATTCTTTGCGTTTGATTTCTCAGGACTTAAAATGCCTTTCCTAGTTAGTAACTATGAAACATTTACCTAATGTTGATGTAAACAAGTATTGAATAAATTATCTGTTGGTTTGAAAAGAAATCTTTTTCACTGTTACATTATTATGTAAGCAAATATCAAAATTCAAACATAGAAATTAGAAATAAAGAACTTGGTACTAGTTTTTTAAAAATTATCATCTCCAAAAAAAAAACAAAAACACATTTTAATTTTTATTTTTTAATACAGTGAAAGTATCTCATTGAATTTGATTTCCTGTGCCTGTTTTTGGTTTCATTAAAATGTCTTAGCATTATATTAGAATAAAGAGAGAAAAAATGAACAAAGGAAATAAGTACATTTAAGTAGAATGACAAGCTTTTATTAAAACTGTAACATAAAATTGTCATTGCATCTTTGACATTTTGTATGTTTATATGTTATGTGACTGATGAGTGCCACTTGTTATAAACTTCTTGTACTTTATCCATTGGTGCAGACGGGTGAATGTTATGTGTATGTGCTGCAGGTTGCTGGTCACATGTCATTTCTCTCTTACCATCTTTTTAAAGTTTTACTTAAGGTGTCAAAATATGTTAATTCAATTTTTAAAAAAAAATTTTTGTTATTTCAGTGTGAAACCATTCAGCACTCCTCCTTATGGCCTGGATACAAAACCTAACACTTCACACAACGAGGTGGCACCTCCTTGGCAAGGTAGATCCATTGCAGGACCAAAGTTACGATTGGTGGAATTCTCCGCATTTTTGGAACAGCAGCGGGATCCTGACTCTGTGAGTACAAAATGTCCTCTGGTCTCATAAGCATTTGAATAGAAGTGCATCTGACCAACAAAGTGGTGATCCATATACAATTATCACTACATATTATTTTATGAGGGTGGGAAGTGTTGAAAAGTTTTTAGCCTGACCCACTTCCCCAAATAGTTTGGTGAGGGGGTGGGGGTCTTTTCTTGATCAGGCTAAGAACTTTTCAGCACTTCCTCGTACTTTATTCTAACTCATATTTTTACTGTATGAGAACAATCAAACCTCTTATGATGATTTGATATTGTTTAGTTCTTAAAGATGTGTGATTTAATTTCAAAGCAAAGAGAAACTTGGCCAAGACCTCATTTAGTCATATGCAAATATTATAATTACCATTTAAGTCAGTCAAATTTGTGTGAGTTTAAATCCATAAAATTATATGCTTATTAAAAATCAGACTTTACCAATTCAAAATTTGTAAATTTCACATTTGGATAAGTGTGCAATTGAATTAAAATTTACCCTTTTAAATCAAGAATTCAGTTCAAGTTTGGAACGTTTTTTTATTTAATGTCAACAAATATATAAACACATTGTATGTTAGTTTTATTTCTATGTTGTATATTATTTGGGTTGATTTGGAAATACAAAGTTGAATTATTTTCTTTTTGAAACTCCAGGACATCAGTTTTGGAAAATGAAAAGTTAGGACTCACAAGAAATTTAAAAGATGCATTGAACAATTTATTATTACTGATGATGACATTTTGCTTTTCCTCTTTCAGTATCACAAACATTTATTTGTGCATATAGGGTCCAATGCCAGCTATACAGATCCTCTACTTGAGGTAAGTCATTTTATCGGAATATGTACATCATTTTTTTAATCATGGGAACTAAAGCAATTTAAAAACTTTAATAAACTTGTATATTTTGCGATAAATTTTGTGATTTTTTGACCAATTTTACTTAAAAAAACAAACAACTGTAGAATAATGCATAACATGTACCCAATCACAGCAATTTGTTTTTTAAATTGCTAAAACCTTAATGGGATATGTTCGTCATATCAAAAATATGCAAATGTCATGATATTAATTAGGAATTAAAATAGATTTTTTATGCTATTTACATGTGGACTATTGTTTTCATCTTTGTTGTTCAACAACAAAGATAAGGACAATAGTCCACATGTAAATAGTGTAAATAATGATAACGGCTCATCCCAGAAATTCATACAGAAAATATTTTAATATTGTATGTGCTCTAAAATATAATTTAATCTCTAAAACCTAAATTTCAAATAATTTAAGTCCAAATAAGGTAAATAAGAAATTTGACATTTTATTTTACTAATGTGAAATATTATTTTCTTGTCTAATTTGTTTTTTAATTTCAGCTAAAATGAGTTAAATTTTCATTTTGGCTTGGCAAACAGTTATTATGAACAAAGAGTTTGCACCTTTGTGAATGGGGGGGGGGATACTACAGTAAGGATAAATTGATTGGCATAATTGATTCTGACACAGACAATAGAATTTTAAACTGAGGCTATTGTAGTCACTTAATGTTAATTGCCTTGAGAAAGGCATGAACCCGTTTCTTCCTTATCACCAATTACAGGTTAAATGGCAGGACAGGTTTGTCTCTTTAGTCTTGATAGGGAAGCCTGTCCATTATAATTTAGCCTCCTGTCAACATGTTATTGATTAGTGTAGTTATATATGGCTTATTACAACTCCTGTCTAACAAACTTACACCTCTGTAGACACCTCAAAAGAAAGAAAGAAAAAAGAAAATGGCTAATAAATACTTGTATACATGTGGATGTCATGTTAGTTTTGGAATAATTTTGATATTTCTCCAGCTAAATTAAGAGTTAAATGGAAACAGTTTATGAAATTTTGTAAATCTTTAATTAAGAATTTTAATGACAGACTTTAGAAAATTTGATATCATTAACCGTAACATTGAAATGTGCTGTTATATTCAATTATTTTTTGCCATTAAAAATTTCATTATCTTTTCAAAAGTGGACTTTGAAAGAAAATCTTGAATAGTTTAAATTTTTATGGATAGGAATTCTCTTTTGTGTGTGTGTATTCAGTTTTTCTTTTTTTATATTTTTTTTAATTGCAAACTTAATACACTGATATAATGAAGTATTTTAATTGCACATTATAAAACCTTTAAAATCAAAAGTATGAAAGACTTTGTTTTTCTTCTTTCAAAGGCTGTGGATATTAAGCAGATATATGACAAATTTCCAGAAAAGAAAGGTGGGTTGAAAGAATTATATGATAAGGGGCCACAATCAGCATTTTTCTTAGTTAAATTCTGGGTAAGTGAATAAAAGATTTTCTTTTCTTTTATGCAATCGATTGTTTCAGTATAGTCTTATATTCAGTATTAAATCACTATTCCTAACTATTTTAATAATAATAATTACATATATGTGCATGCATGTGTATTTTGAATTAATATTCAAATGAAATCCTGCTAAAGATGTTTGCAAATACATTTCCTATACAGACCTTGCATCAAATTTATTGCCAAAATGAGATTTGAATTGAATGATATCCAAATGCATGTTTTGTTTTGTTTTGTTTTTATCATCTTTCTGTTTTTGCAAATTTAGTTATTTGAACAACATTAAAATAGAATTTTTTTCCCTCTCCAGGCTGACCTAAACACAAATGCCCAAGATGATCCTGGGGCATTTTATGGTGTCACTAGTCAGTGAGTATAATTGACCTTGTTTGTAACTTCTTTTTATGTTTTATATAAATAAATAAATAAAACAAATGGATTTTTTATTAGTAGAAAGAAATTTAATTTTTTTTATAACCAATGAAGAATTAAGACAAAAAAAAAAAGATTAATAAATTATGAGAATTTTTCTTTCACTTTGAAAAGAATAAGAAATTACCTCTACATGTTTAATAATTTATGCCCATTCAATACAAAATATTTTGCAAGTACTTAAATGTACTGATGCTAATGCTTGTTATTCATCTGCCCAAGATTATAAACAATCCGCAGCCCTGAATTAACTTTGTTATCTAGTGGCATTGATCATAATTGGCAACCATTTTAATTATCCCACCTTTTTCTCTAAGGTATGAAAGTACAGAAAACATGACAATCACATCTTCGACTAAAGTGTGCTCTTTTGGTAAACAAGTTGTTGAAAAAGTCGAGGTAAGTTATCAAATCTGCATGTACACATTGTTAAACTTGAAACAATGAAAAAAAAAACTATTTTCTAGAATATCAATTATTAAAAATTGATGTCAAATATCATGAAAATCTCTGCAATATACTACTATCCATGCCATCAAAAATGACATCATATTTTAAATATTGTGAGACTTTAAACATCTTTGTTCCCTATTGATATACTCTGGCCTTTCAAAAGAATCTGACTTTGAAAGAATTTGCCATTGTAATAACAAAGACACTTTCACTCGGCATTATCGATGCAAGGGAGATAACTAATGCAGCAAAAAGGCAATGACAAAACAAAAAACATACAAATACATATAGTATATTATATATGTACGAGATTCTTATATTAATGACAGAAACACATTCTTTGGTGTGTGAGTGTGTGTGTAAAGCATTTTTAATCTGCTATTTTGATTGCATATAAACCAGATTACCTAGAAAAATAAGTAAAACCACAATCTTTGCAAAACCATGTGATATATCTTTCACTTGGACAGAGAATTTGTTCAAGTATTTTTCAATTTGATATTTTGATGTGTTAGTTAAAATTACTGATGTAATTATGTAAATAATGTTCGAAAACCTCCCCCCCCCCTAGAAAGGAAGAAATATTGATAATATAACTCTTTTGGTGTTATTATTGACTTTTCCTTTTATTCCATTAACTCCTTTTAGACTGAATACCCACGTTTTGAAAATGGTAAATGTGTCTACCGCATCACACGTTCACCTATGTGTGAATATATGATCAACTTCATCCACAAACTCAAACATCTCCCAGAAAAATATATGATGAACAGTGTTCTAGAAAATTTCACTATATTGCAGGTAAGAAAACAAAATCAATGTTTCTTACATGTTGAATATCAACTGAATTTTTTTTTTTTTAACAACTGGATGCATGCTTTATTCATTTAGAATGATTTAGTTTAATCATGTATTGTGTTTTAGTGTAACCTTAAGTTTTCTCGTTTAAGTAATATTTCTATATTGAGTAAAGGAAACTTTAATTTATACCTTCATGGGAATAGGAAAATGTTATCCAAGTACAATTATCTCTCTTTAGTGTTTGTTGTTTTTTTATTTATTTTTTTTTGTTTTTTTGTTGTTGTTGTTGTTAATATAAAAAAAAAAAAAAAAAGTCGGCAAACTGTACTCGAAATGAGTAAATAAACACTTTTCTGTGCAGAATCTCTTTGGTGGCCACCAATGTTCTCAGTTCACGATTTTATATTCTTATTTGTTTTATTTGTTTTTTTTTATGATTCAGTTGATCTCAACTAAGCTAAAAGTTATCCTCACCTACGCAAGATGCTGTTCCTTCAATGGCAACTTGTTGAGTTAAAAGAGCAGTTTTTGCACTTTAGATGCAAAAGATATTTTGGTGTAAAAAAAAAATAATAATATCTGTATTTTTCCATTTTAGGTTAAAATTAATTTAAGCTACAGAACATGAGAAATTAAATTTTGGTTCAATTAAGGAAAGTTATTAATAAACAACATGGGATTGATGCTTCAATTGTTTTCTCTGTTAGGTTAATTCATCAGACAACATCATTTCCTCTTCAATAATGCAAAGTTTTTTTCTCTGGTAAGCCAAAAGAATTTCAATTCACATAAAGCAGAGAACTGGATCAAAATAAAGGAAAATCTTTTCTGATTATACATTTTGCATTTCTATTAATCAGTGATAATCCAGGCTAGAGTTTAAGTCTAAATCCAGTTTCTCTTCATATGATTTCAAACAAATATTGGATGACTTTCTTTAGGAAAGGCTTTCAAAGCCAACCACAATCTTGTGTGTTAATCCTGTTACAAATTTATCTTTAAAGCTGTTTTTTGTGTATTAAAGGAAACATTTCAAAGTGTGTTTTGCTTTCTTTCTTCTTCCTGAAATGTAACTAAATTATATCTGTCAAAACGAAAATATTTTCATCTTTGCCTTACATACTTGTTGATGTTATTAAGCAGTCTCAAATATTCCACTCTCTGTCATCTAAAAAGATTCACAGACGTTTTTCTAGGTGCCTTTAGCTAGATGTATGTGATCAAACATTTTCTGGTGGAGCTCTTACTAACATGTATGCAAATTTGAATAGAACAGTCTGCCTTCTGTGATAACAAAGCAACATCAAACAATAATGTTAGTTCTGTTACTGATAATGTTGATATTTTTTTTATTCCACCATCATGTCTAAGATTTCAAACTCTAACATGTTTAGAAAAGCTTCTACCAAACCTGGAATAGTTTTTATAACTGGAAAATCTTCATAGATGCTTCCATAAATAAAAACTGGTAAATATTATGTAGGCTTTTTAATTTAACTCAGCATGTGAAAACTGATTACTTACATTATTGATAATGTAAGTAATCATAATACCTCATCTCAGAGAGGTGAAAACTGATTTTGCAGAACTGTAGTTTACTGGGTTTTGAATCGGTCATTATTATTTAGACCAAATGGTTGTCCTTAGCCCCTCAATTTCAGAGTCCAGTTTGATATCAAGAACAATATGTCAACCTTTTCTCTACTTAAGTAAAAATCCAGGGTTTTCAACGATAATTTTCTTTGAGGCTACACAATGTGTTTTCAAGTAGAATTTTTACCTAAGGAAATCAGTACAGAATCTTAATTTCTATAAATTATTTTCATAATAGATTTAAATAACTGATAAACAAAATTTAAAATCTGAAACATTATTAGCATAAAATTTATTGTGCATAGCTCCTGTATACAGTTAACATGGTTTGTTTTTTTTCTCTCCAGGTTGTTACTGATCGGGATACCCAAGAGACATTGGTGTGTATTGCATATGTATTTGAGGTGTCAACTAGTGAGCACGGGGACCAACATCACATATACCGGCTGGTCAAGGAATGAATGTTTCACCTCCACCATTAACACCCACCACCACCAACACTAGCATGTGCTTGACCACAACTGCTGAAAGGGAGGAAGAAAAGGGGACAAGAAAGGGGGCGGGGCAGGGACAGGACAAACATGAAATCATCTTCATCCTCTTTATGTAGTTATACACCCCCTCTATACGCACATAAACAAAACAAAAAAAATCCATATTATATTTGTAACATAGAAAAAGCATTAGTTGTCAGCTGTAACCCATGAACATTACTTTTTAACTAACAAAACTGGCCTTGAGATCAGCTGACTGTTAGTGTGGAAAAACAAAACAAAAAAAAAAATACAAAATGAACATTAATATCACTGGGAATTTGGATGATAAACTGTGCGTTTATAAGGGGAAAAAGAGAATATCCTGTCTCAGAATTTGTTTTTTTTTAATGATAATTCTTAAGTTACCTTCCCTGATCTTTCTCCCTCTCCAAACCACTTTCTTTGTTTATTTCACTTTTCTTCTGCTCCCACTGTCCCTACTCTTTCTACTGTGTTGTGTTGAAAAAAAAATACCCTTTGTCAAACATTTTTGGTAGCAAAAGAGAACAAAAGTACTGTAAAATTCCTTTCCAAATATCCCCTCCACCCCCGGCATGTGTACTAAGCAGGAGGAAACTTAATAAGAAAGAGATACTAGGAAATGTTTTGTTTTCCTCCTCCTCTTCTCCATGCAACTTGTTCCTCTCTACCCGCCCCCCTCGATACTGTCTTTTACAAGGACCCCCCCCCCCCAAAAAAAACAACTCTTTTCTTCCCATTCCTACATGTTCCAAGAGTGTTTACTTATCTTACTGCTGCTTACTCCCTCTCATTTCCTGCTGCTGCTGCTCACCTGCTGAGACAAACAAGTATGGCCAAACTTTAACATTGTTACCATTATCAAATCTCATCTCCACATATAGCAGCTGCTTTTTCTCACCTCACACATTCGACTTTTGCTGACATGTGTGACCCTCTGACTCAGTGAATATAGCAACTGGAAGATTACATGTGCCTTCTGTACACCCCTCTTACCTTACCTTACCTACCTGTCAACAGAATATATTTTAAGGTGTGGCACTTGAGGTAAAGACTTGATTCTTGCTAGCCAGGTTGGTAATCTAGCATCTTGCCTAATGTAGATCTAATAAAATTATAGACTTTATTTAAAAAAAAAAAGAAAAAAAAAAGAAAATATATTTTCTATCCTAAAGAAATACTAGTACCAAGTGTTTTTCCCACTCAAAATCAGAAATTAACTCAAGAGATTTTACTTTGATATTTTTACTTGATAGGTAGCATTTTAAGAAAACCATTCCTTATTCTTTTTTCATCCCTTCAGTTTAAAATTTTTTACTTTTCACCCACAATTTCTTAAGGATATATACAATAAAAGAGAGAGAGATAGAATATTTTCAATATAATGTCCTCCTCCATCTCATCAAAATTAACTTTTATAAAAAATAAAGGAATTTGTGATTAACATAAATCAGTAACTTCCTTGTTTATCCTATTTCAATCCTTTTTTTTCTGCATGTGGAATCAGTTGGGATAGTCATAAAGTAACACTTCTTTTTAACTAGCATAAAAGTTAATCTACGGAAGTTACTCCCTATTCTACCGATCAGTAGTTATTTCCCTTTAAAATAGTAAAAACAAGGTCAGAGATATCTTTCTTTTATTATATCATTGTCATTATCATCGATCATTATCAATAAAATACCAGAATGTTTACTGCTATCTTTAAAGCAAACTGCTGTTGTCCACCACTTCTATAACGTCTGCTACCTGTCCCACTACATTTTACTGCTGTATATTTTAATCCATCCAGTCTTAAGATTACTGATACTGCTGCTGCTGATGATGATGATGATGCTTGTTGCTGGACAACTTTGGTCATATGGTGTTTATGCAGTTTTTGAAAATAAAGAAGCAGAAACGTGGAGTGGAAAGAAAACCTTTTGTAAAACATCAAAACAAAAAAAATATTAAAAGAATTTTTAGATTATAACAAAAATATTCATAAATTCAGCATAGATTATTTTTGTGCCTCTTAACCAATTTTATAAAGGACAAATTTTGTCTTTCATTTCCCACCCGCTGAAATTTTGACTTATAATTTTGTGTGTGGAGGATGTGTGCTGTTTGAGTGTACAGTGTTATTTTGATTGCAGTGTGTGTGTGTGTGTGTGTGTGTGTGTGTGTGAAAATCCTTCAGTGGATGAAGAAGAAATAGCCCATTTTAGACACAAAATGGGGGGGGGGTCAGCCCAACAAATTTTTCAATTTTTACCTTTTAAATTTCATATTTTTGAATTTATTTCTACTTATTTTTCTTCCCACTCAGCTACAACAGCATTTTAATTTATTTTATTTGTCATAATCAGTTACTTAAATAGGAAAATTGGTATAGGTTCTTTTATGATGCCAAACTGTTTTTCTTTCTTTATTGTAAGAAAAAAAAAAGTCAGAAAGGAATATGAAGAGCATCATTTAATTTTGTCATGAAGTTGTTTTTTTTTTTTTTTAAAACTATTATTTCTACCTATCTTCTTTCTTATCCAGTGTTAAAAGTCAGAGAATGGAGTCTGTACCTCAACCTTTGGGCAGTAAGTGTTTTTATGAGACACACACACAGAAATGTTAACAAAAGCAATAGGGGGAGGTGGGGGGACACTTTAGACGAGAGGTGATGATGCTGTCACAAACAGCCCAAATTGAAGAATTGTAAATGGCTGATCATAGAAAGCACTGTAGAAGATGGAGGGAGAGGGGGAGAGTAACATTTATTTCTCTCAGGCTGATTCAGCAAAATAGATTTTGTTGGTCTTTGTGTGGAAAAAAATAGCATAAATTTACCTATTCAATATATTTTACAGAAAAAAACAAAAAAAAAAAACAAAAAAAACTGCAACGTTTGAGCTCTTTACCTGTGAAAAAGAAAAAAGTTATTGATAGCATTTGATGCTAAGTGGGGGGGGGACTACAAAAGGGTAGAATACCATTGATGGTTACAAATGTGTTTCCTTTTATCCCCCACCCCATCCCCAAAGAAGAATTGATATTTTTGTCTGAATTTACTGTGTTTTCTATTGGGTGAAAAGAAAAAATATATATCAGTGAAGTTTGGTACAAATGTTTCTATCCTTGCCTTATGTGCTATCATGTTATTAAAAAAAATAAAAGCAAAAAAACAAAAAAAAACAAAAAGATTTTAAATCATCATCTGAACATTAATTCATGCCTATGTGTGAGTGTGTACATAACATGCAAGTGTTTACATTTCCCCCCATTTCCCCTACCCCCCTTTTTTTTTTAAGTTACCGAACAACTTGAGTGTAAGCTATTTTTTACTTGTGTCTAAGAAGTAAACTTTTTTTTTTGTACTTTCTATAGGAATGTATGAAATAAATATTTTTCTTTTTTGTATGCAGCAAGGTCTTTGTATATAAGAAAGAAAAAAATCACTCTCCTTGGCATTTTATTTTAAAGAAGATAAAGCTATTTTAATATTTTTTCCCTCTTAATGTCTATTTTTAAGGTAAAAAATTATTTGAATGATTTTTATTTTAAATATATTTGAGTGTAGACCACAGCTGCTGCAAATCCTACAAAGTACATCATGTCAATTTATTTATCTAGCAAACTCTTTCTGGATACAGTTTGGAGTTGCTACTTCCATTTTTGTCTTTGCAGTTTTGATTTTTTATTTGATATTTACAAGATTCCTGTTCTCTCTCCCAAATGCTGATCTTGATTGTTTATTAGAAAATATTGAACTACCTGATGGTTTTAGTATTATTATTATTATTATTATTATTATTCATTGAAGCCTTTTAGGCACCATTTCATCAGCAAAGACTTGCTTTCTTTTTAGAGACGAAAACATTTACTTTCTACTCTGATTTATGATTCTGAAGTTCTGTGCCTTTTTTTAAGAAACAAAAAAAGTGATTTGGACAAACAAACAAAATATAAAGAGGATATGCCCGTCTGCTGGAATACAAAGTTATTTCCCTTTAATCACCCCCCTCTCTCTAATTGCCACCGTCGCTTTCCTTATCTTCCAGATTACTTGTCTAAAAGAAACCTTTGATGTTAAATAAAAGTGGTTCAAAAGTTGTGAAATGCTAATGTTTTATTCACACTAGCTCAAGTTAATTTACCCCCCCTCCCCCATCCTTTGTTTAATCTAAGTTTTGTCTCCTTTTCTTGTAATAATCTTGGGATTTTTCCATACACAAACCAGAAAGTTTACTGATGAAATATGTTAAAAGCTTTTATAGTCCTATACTTAAATTTAGTTTCTTTTTTTTTTTTTAGTAACGTAAAAAGACATCTTCTCTGGCAGCTGAAGGGCCAAATAGCTCTGTGCATGTCTGACATTAACACGTTAGGTTTTTTATTTTAGAAAAATTTGAGAAATTCACTTTTTTTTTTTTTTTTTTCTAGCTATTCTCTCACCTTATTTGTTTGTGATTAAATGTAATGATTTTTTTTTCCTAATTGTGTACAGTGCCTTCAAAAACCTATTGGATATTTTGTCCAATTCTCTATTAGTCTGTTGTAGAATTGAGATCTTCACACAATAATTTTCCTTTGTTACTCTTTATACTCTCTCTCTCTCCTTAGAATTCTAGATACTTTGTTGACCTTATTTATAAAGTAAAACTGAAGAGATGTTAAAATTGAAATGCAAGATGAAAACTTCTTGTAGAATTTCCCATGCACACTTTTTCATTATGTTCCTAATTTCCATTGCTGCTGCTATTCTCTTCCTTCTCTCTGCTTTGATTATAAATGAAGTTGTTGCACTTTTTGATATATTAAATAGAATTCATTATAACAAAGTCAAAGAGAAGGAAGAGAACAGTAAAAAAAAAAAAAGTAGTCATAAAATAGACACTTCTTAGTCAGCAGTTTAGAACTTATTTACTTTATTTTTAGAATCAAAGATATTAAAAAATTTTGTAGTTCTACACTTA